GAAACTTTATGAAACGGTCAATACTTAAATACAACAAAACAATGAGAAAAATATTTTTTTTAAAAAAAAAAAGATAAATTCTTATTAAAAGACAAAAATGACAAAAACTGGGTTTTATTTTGTTTTAACAAGCCCTTAACCAACATATCGTTAATGTGTTTTGAATGATTTCCTACCAAAAGCATTCACAAAATCTAGTCAAAAGTGTAGCTGACATTTTTTTGTATGCCACACAAAATCGATCCCTTAACAATAGTCGAAATGCTCTCATGAAATCCACCTCTAAGTGGTGTCTTGTAATAAAGCTTTTTACCCAATGCCACCAAATCAACATATCGTCAGTGTTTTCTGTCTATGTTTCTGAGGTGAGATATTTTAACTGTTTATACCATTTGCATTGTTTGGACCGTTGTCCTCATCTTTATTGTCATATTCACTGATCAAACAACATCTATCTATATTTTTGTAATGAGATGAAAATGGCAATAAAAGATTCTGCTGACAAGTTCTCAGCCCAACCAACTCTCCAAAATCTGATTTTTTTTTTTTTTTTAAGAGATAGCTTCATCAGGCCACAAACTTTTCAGCATCCTCTTATAATTATAAATATACGTTGTGTCTATTTTTTGTTAAAGTTTTCTGTTTCTTGCAGAGTGACAGTGACAGCAATCAACATAGGCACAAGACAAAATGTAAAGTTTTAATGATGGTAGAATTATTGGAATGTATTCCTTTTTTTTAATAAATTCTTTCATATTGCTTCACTGCTTTTGTTGCCCAGTTTAAAATAATATCTCAAAATTGCAAGAATCAAAACAAAAGATGCAGATGAATAGCATTGATAATGATATCATATACTACTACTACTACTACTACTACTACTACTATTATTATTAAAAATAATAATAAGTTTATATTTCTGAGATGTGGTATTGTAACTATTTATGCTATTTTACATTCTTGTTCTCATCTTTACTGCCATATTCACAATGTTTCAACCATTGTACACATTGGCTTTCTTCAGGTGATATAGGGTTCAGTTTGAAATTCCAACATATATCATCTGAAGAAAGCCAGAGCATACAACGACTGAAACATCATCAATATGACAATAAGGATGAGGACAACAGTCGAAACAATGTAAATAGTGTAAATAACAATATAGTGGAATTATAAATAGTTTTCAGATATATGAATAAAATAAGCTTGGGAGTAAATATCAGTAATAAACAAAAATACTTTTTTTATACCTTAATATAAAATAATAATAATAATATTAATAATAAAGTAGAAACATATAATATGATATACTGCTACTAATACTACTATTAATAATAATAATAATAATAATAATCTGTCTATATTTCTAAGATGAGGTATTGTAACTATTTACACTATTTAGACTGTTGTTCTCATTTTTGTTGTCCCCAAGGACAAATGGCCTAGTGTATAAAAGCGTTGGTTGAAGTAATTCAGTGACTTGATCCAAAGAGTTGTGAGATCAATCCCTGGCCACAGCAGAAGTGAACAAAAAAACTGGGAAAGTTGAATTACTGAAAGGGAAATCACTGAAATTATCTGGAAGACGTATGGAACATGGAAATAGAACAATCTACCACAGTAGATGAAATAAAAGGTTTGGTTTGAAATTCCAATAACCTGAAGAAGGCCATAGTGTACAACAGCCAAAATGTCATGAATATGACCACAAAGTTGAGGACAACAGTCCGAACAATATAAATAGTGTAAATCATCAATGTTTTAATAGATTTTCCAGCAAAAGCCTTCAAAAAAGTCAAACATAAATGCTTTCTTATAATAAAATTTTATAGCAATCAACCCCATATCAACATAATGTCAATGTTTTAATTGGTTTCCTAATAAAAATTTTCCAAAAATTCAACTAAAATGGTGCTTCATAATAAAACTTTCTTTTGCAAACAACACCAGATCAGCATTCTGTTGATATTTCAGAAGCCCTCATGAAATCTAATCTGAAGAGTAACATAATAAAATTGACTTTATTGTTTGCAAGCAAACACCAAAACAACTGACTGTCAATCTATTCAGTGCTTAAAGTCATATCACGTTAAAACACCATTTCCTATTAGCAATGTTGAGCCTTGTCAGTACCTAGATGGGTGAGCACTTGGAAATACCAGGTGCTATAAGCTTGGATGTGCAGGTGGTGTAATGGATAATGGCTCAGAGTTGCTAATCAAAGAACAGTTGGGTTCATTTTATTCAATTACATGCAAATACCCTTAGGAAAGGTTGGAAACCACCCCCTCTTCTTCACCAGCGGTAGTTTAACTAGTAAAATCTGTATCACTAAATCATTATCACCAAAAACAAATAGTCTTAAAATCTAAAAATATTTTCTGGCTTTAAATAACCTTAAAAGGGGTTGGTAAGCCATGAAAAATAAATCAATCTTAAGAGTTTTCACAATAGAAGCCTTCAAAAATCCAACCTAAAGGGCTTAAAACTAAAATCTTTATTTATTGTCATTATGTTTTAATAGATTTCACAATAAATGTCTTCAAAATAACTAACCTAAATGCTTTCTCAAAAAAAGACATTTATTTCTGCAAGCAACATTATCATTATTTTAGAAGCCTTTATGAAATCCAAATTAAATGGTGCCTCATAATAAAACTTTCATTGTTACAATCAGCACCAAATCAATAAACAATGATTATTTTTTTTTCACTAGTTTCTCATCAGAAGCCTTCACAAAATCCAACTAAGTTTTAAATGAGAAAAATAGATTTCTAACCATTTATTTTTATCCACTTTTATTTTCTTTTGAATTATTGAAACACTATTGATGCACATCACATGATAGTGTTTTTTATTTTTTATTTTTTTACAGTAAGGTTCACCCTTTACAAGGCCCGAGGGTCACTCAAAGTAGAAGGTTACATTAGGAAGCCATTTGTGTATATAGGAGTGGAACATAATGGTTAACCCTTGCCTTGAAAAGGTTATGATTATAGTGATCAGAGAAACATCTTGTTGGGAGTTGATTCCACAGGGGTTCGCATCAAGAAGCTGCTTGAGTGGAATTTGTTTCTAACCAATGAAATATGGAGGGAATGAGGGTGATTAGCTACTTTGGAAGTGGCATGGCATGTTGTTGCTGTGAAGGTTTGCCTTAGTGGGTCCAGGGAATGTAGTTTATCCAAGCACTTTCTATGGAAATAGTAGGCTTGTCACTCCCACCTGTGGGCGAGAGAGAAGTTGAAGAGTAAAGAATAATTTGTCACCCACAAAGACTCAGAGACACTTTTGAACTCTGTCAAGGCTGGAGAGTGAGGTCTTGGCATCTCACACCCAAATATGGCAACAATACTCCATTTTTGGCCTGATCTGGCTCTTGTAAAGTAGAGGGTAGCAAGGTAGGGGCAGGTACTTACTGGATCTGTACAGGTACAGTATTGGGAATATATTTGTACAATTGTGGGTAATATAAAATTTAGTCACTTTTGATGATCCATATTTTAGGTGTTCCATCAGGTGGTTGTAAATTTAAGCAGGCTTTCACCACTTGTGATATGAAAAGCTAAAAAGAGCATCATATGTGCTGTACATAAAAAAAGCAATGGACATTGGTTTTTAGATAACACTGAAAAGACCAATATAGCTAGATGTGAACAGACTGAGGTAGACTGCTGGATGGGAAAAGTCTGTGGTAGATAGCTGGACAGGAACATACTGAGGTAGATAGCTGTTGTTGAATAAGATGAATGATACAGCAGCTAACATTGTTTTCAAAGTATTAAATTACAACAGATACACTGCATTCATCTCAGTACAAAAGAAATATCAAATAACATTTCTGGTTGCAGTTAATATTTGAAGAGACCAAAGGCTTTAAATTCTATGACATAAAATGATTTCAACCCCTTTTTTTAAAATCAAGATTGAAGATGGGAATTTGCTCACACATTTTAATAACTGTGATTATTAATTTTATATATATTTTTTTTATTTTTACAATTTTTCCCCAATTGCCTGATTTAGTTTCCAGTTAGTCTGACACCTGTTGGTAATAATTTAGTCTTGAATTCCTACTGCTGTCACCATTAATTGCAAAATTCTTTGCCCTTTCGTCATTATTCAGCCAACAGGTGTTTTCATGGCAGAGAACCAAATTAAAAAAGATGAAATATTGCAAGTGGTAAAATAAAATTGGATAAAACATAAAAAAAACAAGGGGAAACAGAAATAAAACAATTACTGGAAGAAGCTTAAACGGCAAGGAATATTTTGAAGAAAAAGTTTCTCTGAAGACGTAAAATAGAGAAGAATCAAAATGCATTTCCATCAGGAAGATTATTTTTATGCTATTTTTTAATATTTTTATGCTATTTTTTAATATTTTTATGCTATTTTTTAATATTTTTATGCTATTTTTTAATATTTTTATGCTATTTTTTAATATTTTTATGCTATTTTTTAATATGAGATTTTATACTTAATTACGTATAATTTCTTTTTAATATTTCCTTTAAAAAATTACTTTTCCAAATTTTAAATAATTTTATTGCATCATGTAAAAAGTAAATTCCTTTTACTAATTAAAAATAGGCAGTTTTTATTTTCAACATTGATTTTACTGATTAACATATTTGCTGTTTTTTTTCCCAATCTTCTGCTATCCTTCCAGTCACTTCATAATTCCAACCTTCCAGAACATTTTATTTTCAACAAAGAACTGCTCCAAGTGCCTTTTTCAGTTTTTTGAAAACCTGACATTCATTCATTGAGAGAATTTTGTAAAGACAAGAAAGAATTGTAATCTAAATGGTTAATGTGGACTAAATTTGGTGGATGAGTGAGAATTTCTAAGGAAATTGGTGCCTGGTAACTAACTTGAAACATGGAAACATTCCTTAGTTCCACTAGTTCTAACCTTCATGGCTAAGATCCCCACCCCACAATGCCATGCACATTAGAGTGAACCGCCTTCATTCCTTCATATTTCTTTCTTTCACATGTTTTTTCTTTTCTCTCTCTCTTTTGTTTATGCGTTTTCTTTTCCCTTTCCTTCTCTCATGCATTTTTTTTCTTTCTCTCATGCATTATTCTTTTCTCTCTCTTCCTCTCACACGTTTTTTCTTTTCTCTCTCTTCCTCTCACACGTTTTTTTCTTTTCTCTCTCTTCCTCTCACACGTTTTTTCTTTTCTCTCTCTTCCTCTCACACGTTTTTTCTTTTCTCTCTCTTCCTCTCACACGTTTTTTCTTTTTTCTCTCTTCCTCTCTCACGTTTTTTCTTTTCTCTCTCTTCCTCTCACACGTTTTTTCTTTTCTGTCTTTTTCATGCATTTTTCTTTTCTCTCTCACACATTATTCTTTTTCTCTCATGCATTTTTCTTCGCTCTCTCTCACGCATTTTTCTTTGTTCTCTCTCTCTCACGCATTTTTCTTTGTTCTCTCTCTCTCACGCATTTTTCTTTGTTCTCTCTCTCTCACGCATTTTTCTTTGTTCTCTCTCTCTCACGCATTTTTCTTTGTTCTCTCTCTCTCACGCATTTTTCTTTGCTCTCTCTCTCTCTCACACATTTTTCTTCGCTCTCTCATGCATTTTTCTTCGCTCTCTCACACATTTTTCTTCGCTCTCTCTCTCTTTCTCTCATGCATTTTTCTTTCCTCTCTCTCTTTCTCTCGCCTATTTTTCTTTTCTCTCTTTCTCGCCTATTTTTCTTATTTTTTTTCACTTTTTCTCTCACTCATTTTTCCTATTCTCTCTCTCTCCATTAGACATTTTTTCTCTCACATGCAATTTTTGTTTTCTCTTTCTCTAATGTTTTTTTCTTTCTATTCTCTCTCTCTCTCTCACACATTTTCCTTTCCTCTCTCTCTCACACATTTTCCTTTCCTCTCTCTTTCCCTCATGTATTTTTTTTCTTTTCTCTCGTTGACAAGTGTATTTCATTGAAGCAGTCATGAGAGAATCCCCATCTCCTCTCTTTGTTTCTTTCTTTCATTGCAATCAAACATCTCTGATATGTCTTTTCCGTCTTTGCTCATGGTCAACATGTAATTGTTCATTATTCATATGGTATTGGCAGAGCATACATGCTGACTAATAAGCATTTTTAGAATATGATTTTTGTAAGACATAACTTTTTCTTGACCACATACAACCTTTCTTCCTGACTTTTATAGCATTTGATAGTAAACGAATTTGCAATATATTTCTGTAGAAACAATATATATATATATATGAACTTTATTCTGTCAGTAATGATTTCTTAACACCTGACTACTGATAATCTCTTTCTTCCTCATTTTCAATGCATTCCTATAATGTTTGTTGGTGGATTTTGTTTAGCGGCATATCAACATATCTATGGGTTATTCAATACAAAAATCTAAATATTTATGCATATCATTTTATGGTTTCAACTAAGTATATTTCGAATGCATTTACATGCCTCCAAATACAGATAAAATGTATTGTTGGTTATTCTATATTATTATTGTTGGTAATTTTACTATAAATATAAGTATTTTAATACTTTTATAGTGTTTTTTCATTTTTGGGGTAGGAGGTCTACTATTTGCCCATAGCTGGTGCCCGAACAGGTGCTACCACTCCAAGTCAGGGGGGACCTGGGAACAACATCAATTAAGAAGTAGTTCCATATGCCTCAAAACATTTAATCTCCCAATCAGAGGCTAGATGTAGTTTATTGTCATTCCTATAATAAAATCATTGATAATTCATTTACTTTATAAATATAATAGTACTATTTTGTCAGTACACTATTTACATTATTCAGACAATTGTCCTCATCTTTGCCGCCATATTTATTACGTTTCAGACATTGTACGCTCCAGCCCTCTTCAGGTGGTTGGAATGTCAAACTGAACCCTTTATTTTGCTCACTGGGGTAGTCTACATCTTCTGTCTTCTTAATCTAGTGTTGGAATACTAGAGCCATAATCATAACATCAGGTTGTGGGTCTGTCCTGACTCAAGTGGTAAAATTTCTTTTTTGACTGTCATTATACTAAACACTAGATTTATTGGTTTTTGGGGGGTTTTTTTTAAGCTTATCATCCATTTGCAGGTATTTAATGCCAGAAATTTTGTTTTTTTAGATTGTAAGAAACTTTTAAGGAATAATTATTTACTGATACAAGTCCTACTGATTAACCCATAGCTAGGAGGAGAAGGTGTTTGTGCATAAGTTAATATAATAAATCCGACTTGTATTGGAATTGGCTCTCCACTTTCCAATTCTGAGCAGTTATCCATTACACTGCCCTCACATCCAAGCTTACAGGACTTAGTATTCCCAAGCAGTCACCTATCTCGATACTGACCAGGCTCAATTTTGCTTAACTTTGGTGATCATATGAGAACCAGTGCTAAATACTAGAAAAAATAAAGGCAGAGAAAAATTGTTAAAAAGTGACAAGTATTTTATTGTCCCTCGGTCGGTTGAGTAACAAATTCCATTCTCAGAATGTTGACAAAGATGACATAATAAACCAATTTTTGAAATGGGAAATTTATTGCCAATGTAGACATCCATTCCTGCATCAATAAAATGAATAGAAAATTAATTTTTCAGTGAATTTAAATTTTTGTTCTAAAAGAAACCGATCAAATATCATTGAGGCAGTGTTTGTAGAATTTAAGACTGATATTACAGTAATAATTTTTTTTACATTTTGAAAGCATGATTGGCTTAAAATACCTAACAATGTCATTTTGGGTTGACAAGTTATAATTTTAATACAAGTAAATTTATGGAGGTTTTGTGCAGGTTATATGATGACAACATCTGTTTTCACTATAATTCAGTCTAATTGAGTTGGGCATATATTGGCCTTGGCTAATGATGAAGGCAAAATACAGTGTAACCCGGATATAAGAGAGATTTTCTCTGGCCCCAAATTAGAGCCTGTGTTAATGTATATAAATTAGACCCGGATATAAGAGAGATTTTCTCTGGTCCCGTCCTCCCCGATATAAGAGAGTTCGTTTTGAGTGACAGTGTGATGTCGTAAATCGGTCAAACAGAGGTCAGTTAGAGAGAGAGTGAATTCCAATGACTTAATCTTGATTCGTCTAGAGACACGGTGGGTCCAATCTGTGTCTGTAGGAGACACCCTCTACCTTATGATTTTGCTTTGTGTGTCTAAGAGCAGCGCCGCCCACTTTTTTGCCGACTTTGCTTGTCATTGCATTTACTGGACAGCACTTTCACTTTACCCACTGTTCTGTTGAGTCAGAAGTTTGTTTGTTAATTTTGCCACTGAAAAACGTTTGCTTGCGATCATTGCAATTAGTGATGTCGGCGTAAATCTTTATATAAAATTACATATTACAGAAAGATAAGGTGAAAGTTGACATTTCAAGAATTTCAAGTGTCATAGTTTTGGTACATATGAGAGAGAGAGAGAGAGAAAGAGTCCAAGAGAAAGTATATATGCATATATGTATCAAAATATAGCAGCTTTGTGCTTAACAATATGGGTGAAAGAAAGTATATATGTTTTCAAATGTAGCCAGTAAGTTGTACAAGTGTTATATTTTGTTTCTGGTATGTTACAGTGTCTACAGCATCATAGAATAGACAAAATTAAGCCTTCAATTCTGATTAAGGTTGATTTTCATCTCATAATATGTATATCATAGCTGGCCAGTCGTATTTGAGAACACCCATCATTTAGGGTGGCTAGCAAATCCCTATTGCAGACACTCTCTCAGGCCCATTTGTGTTTGATCAACACCCACAGAGCCCACAGTGGTTTATACTGCAACTGTGCTGAGCAGACCTTAGTAACACTTTCTGGAAGAGAGCATGTCATCTAACATGATCAACAAACTGAACAAGGCCAGCACACTCAAACCATCAGTCACGATTACCTGTGACTTTATGCTAGCACACCTATCAACGGCCACCTACCTAATTTCACTCTCAAAGCTTGAGTGAACCCATGGTGTGTGTGTGTGTGTATATATATATATATATATATGAAGAAATAAGTCTTAAGGTGGCCTGACAAATGCATCTAGCATGAAACAGACTGTCGCCTCTAAGTGTTGACTTCTATGTTCACTTATATATATATAAAACTACAAATAAAGAGAAAGAACAGACAGATTAAGAATCAACAGCGCTTAGCATTTACTTTGTTTTTAAAAAAGTGCTTAATACAATGTAGAGTAAAATATTATAATAATAAGGTGGATTGAATATTCTTGTTAGGCTAAACAAGAAACACAATAATTAAGGTAAAAATGTTCTGCAACAAGGTCTTGATATTCAGCCCACTGTACAAAGGAGAATGGTCATTTGTCCATGGGTTGTTGATTTGCAGCCACAAGTCAGTGGTTACATTCACCTGTTGGTTTGTTGCTCTACCATCAATATAGAACTTTTGAAAGAGAGAAAGATCAAGAAGATAGTACAAGAACCTGTGCATGAAAAATAGTGTAGTAGAAAATCCTTAGCTTGAAGACAGTTCCACTTACTTGGTGTCTGACATTAGAATCCACTAGATGAAAATCATTACGCAGGGGTAGGAAGACTTTGTCTATAAGAGTTAATTTGTCATCCTCATTAATCACCACCTTCAGGTCCCTGGCACCAAATTTATTCTCAGGGTTCATTGCTACAGCTTTTCACATGACTGGTTTTAAATGCAAGGCAACAGAGATTTTCCTTCTCTTGGATGAACAGAAAATACATTTATATTCATTGTCACTGTTGCCATGGTCTTCTAAGTCCTGATTTGTAATTTGAATCTTTTAAGAATATCAAAATGACTGATTGAAGGAAGACATGAAGGGACATTAACATGCAAAACAATCAGGATTTGGAAGTGTTTAGTTAATTCCATTTTTGCAACAATTCATTCTCCTCAATGAATCAAATACCTTACAAAGCTGCTTATTGTAATAACTTTTAATATTCTTTTATTTAAAAGAATGCCCACTCATTCTGAATGCAACATAAGACCTTTTTAATGTGGGCATCCATGTGAACAATTTTTCAGTGACACCTTGTGTGTGTATATATATATATATATATATATATATATATATATATATATATATATATATATATATATAAGGATATTAATATCCTAAAATAAATAATATTGCTATAATTTGTATTGAGCCCTCTTTTAAATTAAATGTTAAGAACATTAGAATTGTACTCTATTTGTTCTCATCTTACCTCTATGTATATCTAAGTTGTAACAATGTTTTATGTCCCTGTTAGATGAACGTTTATTCTGAGATTTTGGCTTTTCAATTAAACAGAATTAATAATAAAATATATGTATTTTTCCTCAGTTTCTTCTTTAAATAATTTTACATTTTAAACTTAATACAGATTAAATTTAAAATTGGTAATTTTCAATTTATAATAAAATTTAATATTAAAATGATTTCTATTTTAACCTAACCCTAACATTAAGGCATTAATTATTATAACAAAGGTTTGTTATCAAGTTTTTTGAATTCTCTTATACTTGTATTTTGATTGGTCATTGCAGTTTATGTAACAGTGTTTCCTCTATTGAGGGGTGTTTGGTTGATTTGAACCTTTTAAAATTCTTTATTTTACATCCAACACTATCTCTTGATAAGACACCAGAAATGTTGAAACAAAATGGCTATTTTTGTAGAGATTTTATAATATATTTATGTTATAATATTCAAATAAATTATATATATATATATATACACACACATATATCTAGGTGAAATGAGAATAAATGGAATGTAATTCCACTGTACATAACATTTAATTTAAAAGAGAAGAGACACATTTGTGGTGTTGAAACATGATTGTAATCATGTAGTGATTTTTAAGGTTTTTGTTTTCATATCCTAAAATGAATAATATATATATATGGGTATATGACCGAGTAGTTAGAATGTTTGCTTTCTGACCATAAAACCCAGGTTTGAATCTCAACATGGTTGATTTGTGCAGTAAAGTCTTATATATAAAATACTAAATTAAAATGCTACAATTAAAATTTAAGAAAAAAGAAAACTCACATAAGTTACCCCCTTTGCACAGAGGTAAAAAAAAATATTTTGAACTTACGGTGTTAATGCATAACACATCCATAGATATGCAACCTCTGAAGATGATCTCATGAGATTGAATGTACATATATAAAAACAAGAGAGAGGCCACAAACGTTTTTGGTTATAAGGTGGGTTTTTTTTTCAAAAAATACATATCATAGTTTACTTACCATATTTTTGCTACAATTTTCCAGTCTTGCAAGCTTCATCAGGCTTCATGGTTATTTCCTCATATTATTAAAAGGAATTAATTTTCCTTATGTTTTCGATGTTTAACCATTGTTTTTTGTCTGTAGTAGTAACCCAAATGTTTTTCAGCTTAAGGGGTAATAAAACAATTAGGATTGGTTAGAGAGAGGATGAAGTAAGGAGGTCTTTGTTCTTACCTTTTTATGACCCCTGTATCTTGTTAGATCTTTCTCCATTTTTGTGTATGCTTGTGTTTTTTGCTAGTATGTGTATGCATATACCTTATATATATATATATATATCCTATATTGTGTAGGGTATGTGTGTCTGCTTGTGTGTAGTCTGAGGTGCTTGTTTTGCCAGTATGTGTATATATATTCCTTCTCCATAGATACTTGTGTGTGTATGTGTGTTCCGACTAGTGTATTTGGTCATTATGTATGTATGCTGTGTGTGTGTGTGTGGGGGGGGTTATGATCTGTTTAGTTTTGTTTATGAAGTTTTTTTCTTGTATTTGTAGGTAAGAATAATTGTCTGTTATATTGGCATAATTTTAAATTTACCTTGATTACATTTGTAGATGTGTTGTGATACAAAGTATTTTCTTTTATCTAGTAATTTGATGTTGCTTTTGTGAAGGAAACTCTGTTGTTTAGTGCTTGACTGATACCTATATATGACTTGCTGCATTTTGTGCATTTGAGTGCATAAATCACATTTTCAGAGTTGCTGTTTAAATATTTATTTGTTGTGAATGTCATTGTGGGGTTTTTGAAATGTGTAGGAGTTTCCTTCCATGATGATACCACAAACCCCACATCTTTTTTTGTTGCATATTGTGACGCCCCGTATTGTGTGTTGGCTAAATTTGAATGAGGTTAATGTGTTTTAGGTTTTTTGATTGGCGTTTGCTTTTAATTATTTTTTTTTTGTTTTTAGTATATTTTTCATTTTATCATTCTTGTTAAGAAGGTCTAGATTTTTTGTAATTTTTGTAAATAGTTCTGGATTGTTCTTATTGCATATTGAGACATATGATAGTTCGATGTCATGCTTTTTGGGATTTCATAATTGTCTAAATGTATTTTTTCTGCTAGTTTGCACCTTTGTTTATTAGTGTTGT